TCTGATTTAAATTTTTAGATTTACCAGCAAAAGACTGTTTTCTCCGTGCTATAATTCTAGCAATTATTTCAAATATTTGGACGGTCTATCATCGAACATGTAAATAATCTTGCAGCACATGACTAAGAGAATTCTCCGAGAAGGAAAGCAGGGTAATAGTCTTTATTTAGCTGATTCAGAGGAACTTGCTTTTGGTCCAACGCCGCCTTAATTATGTATCTTATTGCAGAGAGGGGGACCAGCATTTCGAGACTTATGGTCGCACCATGTGTGATTCATCGTTCATTTGGTCCACCGTTGTGTACGCCGCCGTTTATTCTTCGGACCGGGTAATACGTGCAAGTGCACGCTCTATTTCTTATCATCTCGTTTTCTATCGCATGACGCATGCGTATAAGGGCTACACCTCCCTCCGAGGAGAAGCGGAACAAATATATATATATATATATATATATATATATATATATAATAAATAAGGACAGACCAGGACGAAATAACACAGATATATATATATATATATATATATATATATAAAACAGATTTTCAAAATGCAATTCTAGAGCGACGTAAGAAGGATCCCGCATCCTGCAAATGTTAGAGAAATATAAAAGAATTAAACGTTTTCAGAGTAAAATCGTAAGTACTTAGATTTACCTTTAACCATCGATTAAACGCAATAGAGGAATGAAGATTTTCCACGATCGTAAATCGCGACGAGTATAACTATTCGCTTCTGACTCGGAACTAAGATCGTTTCGCAGTCGTTTCTCGCGTCTTCCGACCGTAACCGAATTTTCGTCCACCATTTATCCAGTCGCTCTTGCACCGGCGGCTGTCGGCGGTTATCTTTGCAGAGATATACGAATCTCGGCGGGGATTCCCGGCGTCACGTCGCTAGAATTGCATGGATACCGAAAAACGTAGTTGACACTTTCATCATTTGCCTTTTCGTGGCGACGTATCAATCTCGTTTGAATCTCATGGCTGCAGTTTTGGAACTGTTGAGATTTGTATACGAATAATTTTTTCAAAAAGCCTGACAATCTAATCTTTCTCAAAAAAATATATGTAAAATGTAATAAATATAAATTAAACTATATTTACTATTAAGAATTGAGAATTATATTAGAATTAAGAATTATATTATAATTTTAATATATTTTAATATAAGAATTATATTTTTATACATTCATTATAATTATTTATATTAAAATGTAATTCTTCCAGGCATAATTCTCTCTCATTAAATAAATAATTTTTATGCGAATAGAGATAAAAATGTGTGATTAAATTTACTTTAAACAATGATGCTTTAAAAGCATCGTGTACTTTGTGCATATAAATTACATGCTATATTGGGAAGATCATCGTAAACTAACATGTGCAAAATTTCGCTGTGAGATAATATATTCACTTTATCGGCGTTTAAAAATTTATTGAGGGTAAGAGAGAAATTGTCGAACGATGCAATACTTTTCGTACGTTTAGAAAAGTTCTCTCTTAACTTTCTAGCGACAATGTTCTTTCGAAAATTCTTGAGGAAGATCCAAGGAAAATGAGTTGTATAAGATTGGGCTCCTATGCTTTTTACGGAACGATACGGATCCTTACTGGATTCCGTTTGATCCTTCTCATTGGCGTACGGATAATCGAAGGAAATACCATTGTATTCTCTATTTCCTTCTATTGTCATTTGTAACAGCAAGCGTTGAAGCTTACTCTCGAGGTCCTTATTGTTTATTTCAATTAAAACAGAAAAACAAAAATAAAGACAAATAGTACAATTAGTCATTATTGAAATAAAGAGCTTCGTTATTTAGAGGAGACAATTCTCAACACAACTTTCGAGCGATCAGGGGGAGACAAATTTGTGTCTGCCTTTTATCGAGTTCTGCTTCGTCATCTCGGCCGGATCCGATCTCCGCAGAGATGTAAAAGCGGTGTTCTCTTAAGTTTAAGACGCGACACGCAGGTGACACACCATGCGCTACGCGCGAGGCAAGTTCGAGTGGCCATCTTTCCGGCTCGCGGCTCGCTTTCCGATGCATCAACATGCAAGCCACACCAAACTAAGATGGATGCGCGGGCGCGCGAGGGGAGGTTTGCTCTAGGAGTTTGTTCCCCAAGAGCCGTGGCACGAAGCATTGATTCCTCAGCGCGAAAAGAGAGTTACAGCTTTGTTTACTACGAGGGCGACGAGCTCAGCGCCGTCCAGTCTGGCTTGGCGCTGGCTACGCTGTCGGTGTCTTCTTTTCTACCACAGTTTCTCCCTTTCCGCTCCTCTCTTTCCGCGAACGGTCCGTGACTCTCTTCCCTCCCCCTCCCCTCGCCCCTCCTCTCCCACCCCTTGGAACGTCTGGACCGGGAGACCTATAGTTAACGTCAAGATCAACTCTCTCTCCTCGTCCTTTCCAACGTTTCTTCTTCCACGCGAGTACTCCACGGTCTCCGAGTACGCAAACACATTCACTAAGCTAGGCGGTTTATACAGAACCATGGAAAGCGAAAGAGCGGCGGGGCTGAGCCAACCCCGTCTCGTACGCTTCTTTCCCCCCCCCCTCCATCCCCCACCCCCCCTAGCCATTGTGTACGTGGAAAGTTGGACCACATTTCGGCTGAATGTATTACAACCACTTAACCCGCAAGCTGTCGAGACCTTCAGACCGGAGAATCCATGCGGCGTATGAACCTCTACTACGAGACTGATAGTTCGTTTAATAGGCACATTAAGAGCTAGCTGCACATTAAGGGCTGGCTAGCTCTAGTTAAGCGATTACATAAGTGATACTTATCCTTCTACATACGGAAATGTCAGATGCAAGTGCAAAAGACTTCTTTTAAAGTTAAAATCAAGTAAAAATTCAAGACAAATCACAGCAAAATCGAAGCGAAATCGCTGCCATTGGCCTCAATGCATTTTTTATCCAACTCGACATTACAGACGCACACTGCGTTTTCTTCTGATGTATATTTTAAAAATATACATTCCATATATATTTTTTCATAGATTTATTATATATATTTATTTTATATATTTATTTTATTATATATATTTATTTAGATATGTTTTTAATATATATCCATATATTTTTTAATCGAGTATAAATTCTATCAATTCGTATTGCAATTATTATTTCATATTGCGAGCAGCTGTCATGAACGTAAAATTACTTGCATAACCATACATTTTCAATATTTAATCAATCATAAAATATTCAAAAATGCGTCAAAATGTACCATTTCCACGATGATAGCCGCTCATGAAGTGAACACGAGGGAATCAATTAGCGTCATGAAAGAACGATAACAATTAACTTCAAAACAATTTGAGTGTATCGACCGTGCTCTTTTTGAAAGTGAATGAGGAATTTTTTCAATTATTCTATTTAAAGAACTTTCTCTCTCTGTATTTTTTTAACTTTGTTCAATACAAAACTTCGTAGAAAAACAAGTCTTTTGCCGCAACTTAATATTATCTATAGTAATTCATACACCTAACTCGTAGCTCGAGTTTATTTATAAAGTTACACGGTTAACCAAGAATCAACTTTTCCATCGAGACTTCGTTTTCTCGTAATTCTCTTTTGTTAATTTTATTAGCCCACAGGAGATGCATTAACGTTTTGAATACTCGCATCGCCCATTATTGCTCCGTCTTATTGAGCTCTCGCACAGACAAATACATTCGTCCATCACATCGGAAGATATCCGAATTGAAATTTATAACGTGTAAAACAACGAGAAGAGTCAGTGAAGTTCGCCGAACTTCCGCTTTACTTCTCTGTATAAAATTGGATCGGTTTGGCGCTCAACTGTCGAAAATTCGAAAATCGTTCCGAATTCGACTGTGTTTCCTCCATGGAACTTGATTTAATAAATCGAAGACGATAAATTGGCCTCCGACACATAATTGTGTTTTGTGTCGAAATTAGATTTCCCTCCTAGTCTCGTTTACGCGACAGCGAGGTGCCTCGGGTGTTTTTAATTTACGTAAAATTTCGATCTCTCGACCTCTTAACAAATGAAGGGGTAACAATGAGGTATGTCGGCTTGCGAAGCTTCTTCATTAGTAGACCCTCCTTAGCTCATACCGTGCAAGAACTTAGGACACCTTATAGATAAATGTATTAGGACCACTTATCCCACAAGCTGTCGGGTACTCCGAGCTTGTAGACAACCTCTTAATTATCATAGAACGCTAAGCCATTGCGCAGGCCGGAAGTACGAGAGTACTGCCGTGAGTGCTAAAAGCACCTGGAAACTT